AATTATATTTGAAAGAAAATTAAAAAAGTTCCTAATACAAAAATGCTTTTACTCGACAAAAGAATTCTTCGAAGAAAAATATAACACCAAAATTAAATGTTAAACCTACCCCATACATACACCCACAAGCACACACCAACATACTATACATTTTAAATATAAATATTCTATGTATATACAATATACTATACATTTTAAGAATACCCACTTACATTTTGCACTTACCCACTAATATATTATATACCTTAAGTACTTACCTACATTCCGAACAAATAAATATGTAAAAAAATGTTAACCAAAATTTAATTTATAGTAAGCTGGTGACACCCCTAAAATTTGCAACGCCTGAAAAAGGCCGTTAAGCTGTGCCTGTTTTTTTTCATAAGACCTGTATGTATTACCTTAACATGCAATAAAGAGTTTGATTTTGATTTTGATTTTGAATCGTCGTCGTTTCTTTTATGGCATAATCCGGTAAACGAACAGACGGATCACCTGATGGTAAGCAATCGGCGTCGCCCATGGACACCTGGAACACCAGACTGCGTTACCGGCCTTTTGAGATTAGGAATTTCAGGTTTGTTGAGAATTCAGGGATTAGGGAAGGGGGGGGGGGATAATTGGGCCTCCGGTAACCTTATTCACACGTCGAAACATAACGTAAGCGTTGTTTCACGTCGTCCTCTGTGAGGCCGTGGTATCACTCCGGTCGAGTCGGCCGATACGTGTCGAAGCATGGCTCTCCCGCACTTTGGATGCACATGTAATAGGGAGTGAGCCTATTGCCGAATACCGGGCACAATTCCAGACTCCGTGCGACTACTTACAATATTATAACCCAGCAATACTTTACCCAACCCGGAAATCACACTTGCGACCACTTGGCAAACGAGGCAGAGGCATTTAATTTAAAAATATTCACCTCTGCCTATACGTAGAATAATAAGCATATATTTGTTTAAAAAAAAAGAAACCACAAAACTAATATACCTACATAGGTACTTATTACTATTAATATATACGTCATTTGTTTTATATAATAACAAAGATAAAGTAATTGTGTATCGCAGTCGTTATTACACAGAAGTTCAAGTTCATAATTACATAATAATTGCTAATAAATAATAATTGTAATTATTGTAGTGTTTAATTACGTATTGATATCAAGGTTTAATTTTTTATTTACATTTACTTATGTTGTGGTGGCCCGGAGATTTCAGACCTCCGCTTCTCATGCATGAGGTTTCGAAACCTACCAACGGCAAGTACCAATGTGACTTTTTCCGAGTCATATGTACTTGCTAATATTATTTAAACACCACTGACAAACCGCGAAAGAAAACATCGTGAGGAAACCTGGGCTGATATAATAGTCCCATCCATATAATAGGGGGTGATCCTACCGCCATATACCGGGCACATTTCCAGACTCCGTGCTACTACTGAGATTTTTTTTAAAAACCCAGTACTTAATACTTCGCCCGGCCCGGAAACCCCTTGCTCGGCAGTCGCACTTGCGACCACTCTGCCAACGAGGCAGTCTAATATAAGTTTGAACCCGTATTGAATAAGCGTGGTGATTAACGCTCAAACCTTCTTCATGTGAGAAGAGGCGTTTGGTCAGCAGTGGCTACTTATAGGCTGTTGATGTGATGTCATAATTGTATTTACATCAATATCAACATCGTCTGGAATAGGAACTCCTACTGCTAAACAGATACCTTGAGAGAGATGTGTAATTCCCAACTTCTTTCACAGTTGTGTTTGACTCACTTCCTACTATACTATGTCGTAAGAAGCCCAAAAAGGGAATGATGGGCACCAGCTACCAAAAAATGTTACCTAATTGACTTCCAATTCCAATTTTAAGTCTGCCAAGCGCGAGAAACATGGCTAACGTACCTCTTAGGAAAATGCTTTTATTTAGCCGTGATCATCATCTGATGATGGTCGCTCTATTGATAGTAATGATACTAAGGTTTTCGAAACGAGCAGACGCATCACCCGATGGTAAGCAATCGGTACCACCCTTGGACAATCGTAGCACCAGAGGAGGCACAGGCGCGTTTCTGACCTTATGAGGACTTGAGGGTATTGGTATAGTAAATACTCACATAATCTTCAGATAATGGAACTGCAGAATATGGTACAGGCTGCCACACCTTCCCAAGACCTTCATCCCACTGCTGCTCAGGTTCCGGAGGGTAGGCAGCAGCCATAGCCACCTGAATAGTCATCTTCGTCCGTTCCTTCTCAGTACTTCTGATGGCTATTTCATCGTGATGGTAGATGTTGGAGATCAGCTTGTAACCTTGGGAGCCGTACCTTTGGCGGTAGAACTTCCCTATTTGATAGGCTCTCCGTTTTCCGACCTGGAAGAATATTTTATGGAATTAGGTCATATAAGCAATCCATTGAGAAAGATTTTCTGGAATCGTATTATTTTATCACATAACATCCACGCCTTTTATCCCCGAAGTAGTAGGCAGGGGTGCACATTACGGCACTTAATGCCACTGTACAATGTAACACCCACATTTCACTATTTATGTTATGAGTCCCATGTAATAGGGGGTGAACCTATTGCCATATACCGAGCACAATTCCAGACTCCGTGCTACTACTGAGATTTTTTTACAAAACCCATTAATCCTTTGCCCGACCCGGGAATCGAAACCGACACCCCTTGCCCAGCAATCGCACTAGCGACCACTAAGCTAACGAGGCCGTCGTATTGTTTTAAATTAGTAATATTTTTTCTCATAATCTATTTTCTCTAAGAGCCTGTGTGCATGGGCCTATTACTTTGCACTGACGACCATCCCATATTCTGTACTGATAATTATCAAAAGTTGTTAAGGTCCTGTTACACATGTTACTTCAAGCACAAAAGCATGCTTCAATTGAGCACTTGTCACTTAATAGCATGTGTGTAGGACTGTTGCTCATAATTAGCACGCTCATTTCAGACATGTTAGCGAGCCAACAGGCGTTCGATTTTTGAAAACTTTGAGCATGCTCTACAGAACGCCTTCCAACATGGTATTTTAGAAAATATGTTAATTCTTCTGTAAATTCTTTGATTCCAAAATCCCTCACTCGAGCACCTTTGACTACTCGACTAATAATTTAGTCATTATCATCAAATTCTCTGTCATTATTTAATAATTTCATGAGACCACGACATCGCAGTAACATGATATAAAAACCTGTTTTTTTCACTATAGTTACGTCAAACAATAGTATGTTTAGGTACAACGTATTGTATAAATACTTTTTATGTATGTATGTATATATAAACATAACATATGTCTTTAACAACGCACATTATGGTCTTTATCGCATTTTGCGCGTCCATTTTAATGTTTTAGTAATTACTGATAAAAAATAAGCATGATTAGAATGTGACAATCACTGGTCACTAGTTATATTATGAGCCTCATCTTATACTATTATATAAAGCGGAAGAATTTGCTTTTTTGTTTGTTTGTTTGAACGCGCTAATCCCCGTAACTACAATTCTGATTTGAATAATTATTTTTGTATTGGATAGCGCATTTATCGAGGATGGCTATAGGCTATAAATGATCACGCTACGACCAATAGGAGCTGAGCAGAGCGTGTGAAACTGCGCGAAAGTAGCTACTGTAATAATAGGCTCCATCGATCGCCAAATTGAATGCTGCATATGGGAATATATTAGCCATACTCTCCGAAGAGGTCCCGACTTCATTCTCAAATAAGCCTTCGAGTGGAAATCCCCAGGGGAAAAGGAAGCGTGGCCGTCCTCGGCAAACCTGGAATCGTAAAGTGACAGGTAGCAGAAGCAGCGAACATCGATATGACGTGGAGCGAGGTGAAGTGAGAAGCTCAAGACCGACCGAGTTGGCTGCCGTGAAACGTATGGTGGGTTCGATTCCCGCACGGAACAACTCTTTGTGTGATCTACAAATTGTTGTTCCGGGGCTAGGTGTGATGTGTATGTGAACACGTTGTTTGTAAACCTAGTGTGGAGCAACGTTTTGAAAAAGAGAAATGAAATGGAAGACCTCTGTGGACGCCCTTTGCCCCTTCTAGGGGACACAGGACCTTAAGTCAAGTAAGTCTCTTGTTTTTATACCGGACACAATTCTAGACTCCGTGTTATTATTGAGATATCGAACCGGGAGTGTCACCCTTACGACCACATAACATAACTGGAATAATTCTCATAAAATTAGGGCCTTAAAAGATGAGTAGAAATGTAGAAGTAGTGACTTACATTAGTTAAACCCTCTGGTCCTTCAATGTATGTGAGATTGAGGATCAACTCCTGCTGGTCGGAGAGAGACAGCTCGTCAGCATCGGGAGACCGCTCACCATGTCTGTTTAGCTGCAAATAGAACAATAGGAAATGGTTATTATCTAAACTAATATTATAATACTGAAGAGTTTTTTGTGTGTTTGAACGTGCTTATCTCCGAAACAACATCAAATATTACAAACATCACGCTGCTGCGATCAATATCCGAGTAGCTAGTGAAAATGCGCGGAAGTAGCTAGTTAATGATAAGCTGTTTGAGATAGATACTAATTCTTGACCATCGGAGCAATTCAAACAGCATATAATTAGTGTGGGGGAGCCATGCTTCGGCACGAATGGGCCGGTCGACCGGAGTGATACCAAGATTTCACAGAAGACAATCAAAAACGTCGGTTACCGGAGGCCAAATTACCCCCTTGCCTTCCTCAATCCCTGAATCCTCAACAATCCTTAAATTCCTAATCCCAAAACGCCGAAAACGCACTTGTGTGTAGCACACGCCTCTGGTGTTCCAGGTGTCCATGGGCGACGCCGATAGCTTACCATCAGGTGATCCGTCTGCTTGTTTATCGGTTTATGCCATAAAAAAAAAATCAGTACTGTTACCATCAACAGCTTGTAGTAGCCTACTGCTAGACTATGAGAATGGGAAGACCTAAAGAGGGGTTAGAAAAGAGGGGTATACCCATAATCTACACCCTTGACCAGTAAGTTGGAGTTCTATTCTGAATTTCTGATAGATCTCAAACCTCAAATATACAGATATCTATTTACATAGGTATTTCATCACTAAAAATTTGATACCTGTACCTACACTATTATCACCAAACTTCAGCAACTACATTGTCACAGATAAGAAACTATGTGTAAACAAGGTCTATATTTACATAGCACGCCATTTTTATGTTTACTTTTTAATTCTTTACAACGTATGCAAATAGAGTCATTCGAATATAGTCTTTGAATTGGACAATACTTGTCTTAAACTGAAGATAGACAAATAGGAAGTTGAGCAACGCTTTTCGAGGTTTTTTTCATAAAACTGACATCTTTAGTTTCCTTCAAGTCTCGGAGATCAGATAAAATAAGGAAAAGACTTATTTGGACAAACAATGGCGAAACAATGAGATGTTCTGGGTTTGAGTTTGATGGTTGTAAATATCTATACTAATATTATAAAGAGGAAAGATTTGTATTTTTGTATGTTTGTAATGAATAAACTCAAAAACTACTGGACCGATTGCAATAATTTTTTCACCATTAGAAAGCTGCATTATTCAGAAGTAACATAGGCTATATAATATCACGCTAGGTCCTATAGTTGTGGAGCAGTAACCAAAAATGTTTTAAAAACGGGGGAAAAGTATCGTTTCTGAGGCAAGGAAGAATATAGTTAGGTGATGGTAAGTGGTAATCAAATCTATAGCAGATATTCGCAATACCAGAAGAGATGCATTTTTAAGAAGGATTACTCGTAGTTCAGCACGTAAAGGCTGTTGACAGCTGAACCGCACAAATTCCTGCGGTAGCTTCTAAGTTAAGGCCCTCAGTCACGGTACTAAAATCGCACTTGCAATAATATTCCTAGTGTGTTTCCATTCGTGTTAAGCATTGTTCTGCCACGGGAAATTCCCGTGTTATAATATTAGTCCGATCTAGTGATTCAAACCCAGTCCTCTCCTCTACTTGAAACGGTTGAAAACCTCTTTCTCTTTATCAATCCTCTTTTCAATTATGAATATTGACAATAGGCCAGATATTCTCAAAGCAATTTAAACGAGTGTTTTTAAATGTATTGGATTTTCTTTCTATGCAGCTAATCATCTTTAATAACTTATCTCAAAGGGTCATAGTGTATGATGCCGATTATATTTGTTATTGTTCTTGCAAGAATAATCTTTTGCTAAAAAGATTATTACAATAATTATAATAACATAGACGTTTTTCACTAATAAGGTTATTATTTGAACTTTTTGATTAGTCGTATCTACATTATCTTTTATATATTTGTCCCGCCGGAATGATATTAAACTGGTATGTACTGGAAGTGATGTGACGTCATTGACAGATTCATTCAGAGATATTGAAGTCTTTGAAACCATTAGTGAGCTTTAGGGCCTGTTTCAGTATGTTTGGATAGCCACTATACAGAGAATTTGCAAGGTTATCAATGTGGAATAAATAGCACTTGACGACTTATAACTTTAACTAAACAAATGTGAATCAAACAAGTGACTACGGACTTTCATCTCTTCTTGCAGTTTTGGAGGAAAACAGCAAGATTGATAAATAGGAATTTAGGATTTCGAATGATAACCATCTCGACATCAATGGCATAATCATAGTCGCGGGTAACTGATAACCGCATGTAGAAGATTGGAGCTCGCATGGCCGATTAAGACACAGGCCTTAGCAGAGCAGTATTTAAGTTTTTTTTTTTTTTTTTTTTATGGCATAAGCCGGTAAACGTGTAAGTAAAAGTACGTGTATTTGTTGATGCTGATCATGATGGCGATGATGAAACGACTCTTAATATAGATGGTACTTACAACTAAAGCGAACACAAGTTCCTGGTCTTCAATGACTTCGTTTGTGACAGAGTTCCCGCAGGAGACGCTGGACAGCGCCACCAAGTACGACAGGACCAGGTACCGGAGCATTTTCTGAAACAAACATGCAATAATCGTTTAGTTTTTAGAGATATTTTTGGAATTGTTTAGGGTAGACAACAACCGGGCGATACTTTTGGTGATGTCTACAATTTGTAAAAAAAAGGGTAGTCGTAAGAGTAACGAACTATTTTTGTGTAAATTTGTATAACTAATACTAATTTAACTTTCTCGAACCTATTTTTAGGATACAACTTATCGTTTTCGAGTGAAAAATGGAAAAGAACCATAATTTTATATTTTAGAGCTAGAACAGTTTTTGTAGCAAACGTGGGATCGGTGGACATATTTGACATTTTGTTTACAATAATGTATAGTAGTTACGAAGTGTGGGAGAGCCATGCTTCGGCACGAATGGGCCGGCTCGACCGGAGTGATACTTACCACGGTCTCACAGAAAACCGAAGTGAAACAACCCTTGCGTTGTGTTTCATCGTGTGAGTGAGGTTACCGGAGGCCCAATTACCCCAGTCTCCCCAATCCCTGAATCCCCTCCAATCCTCAATTCCCAATTCCCAAAAGGCCGGTAACGCACTTGTAACGCCTCTGGTGTTTCAGGTGTCCATGAGCGGCCTTGATTGCTTATCATCAGGTGATCCGTCTCGTTTACCGGCTTATTCCATAAAAAAAGTTAACGTCTCTTGCCAATTTTCAGTTCTATGCGAGTTATGTCCAGGCCAAATGTCTATTTTGGTTGGGCTAAGTAATACACCGTACTACATCATAACTATAATCTTTTGCGGAAGCAAGCGAAACGATTAGTCAAAACACGCATTGGAACCAGCTTATCAACTTTATTATCAAATCGAAGTTAATATTTCGTTTTATTATAACCTTATTTTTAAGTTTGCATTTAAGATAACTTTATCTATCAGTTTCGGTTGACCACGTGGCTTCCACATGGGTGCACGTGCCCATTAACCGACAAACTATTGAAGTGTTTTACATCATACTTTTAAAATTGTTTACATAACAATATTAGCTGTTTTTTCTTCTGAATGATAAGTAGAGATGTGCCTGTGTTAAATCTCCTTAGCTGTCTCTTGTTTTTAGCATGTTTAATCAAGTTTTTTCTTTTCTTTATTTTCTTTTCCTACGGCATTTTTATGAGATGGGATGCCAGGCAGCTATCGAGCCGATATGGTTTATTTGATAGTAAGCAATCGCTGCATATTCGCAATGGACTATTGTGAGTAGGAGGCCTCCGGTAAGATATTCATGGACCATGGATAATTTCATGCCAACTTTCTCCATATGAATCTCCCCAATCCCTGAATCCCAACCAATCCTTAAACTCCTAATCCCCAAAAGGCCGGTAACGCACTTGTAACGCCTCTGGTGTTCCAGGCGTCCATGGGCGACGCCGATTGATTACCATCAGGTGATCCGTCTGCTCGTTTACCGGCTTATTCCATAAAAAAAAGAATATGCCGTGGTATCGCTCCGGTCTAGCCAGCCTATTCGTATCGAAGCATGTTTCTCTTATGTGAAGAATAATTTTATTGTAATAGTGCCATATTCAATTCAATGTAGCGCCCTCTACCTTGGTGGTGAGACAATATGTGTGTATTTATTAGCTTGCAGTAGTTAAGGTTAAACCATGACGATTCATGATGATGGGCAGGCGAGTCTTATGCTAGATACCGACTTAGATTTCAGGTTTCTACATATTATAGTTTATGTACCTCTACTTTTATATAAAGCCGAAGACTTTGTTTGTTTGAACGCGTTAATCTCCAAAACTACTGGTACGATTTGAATAATACTTTTCGTGTTGCATAGTGCATTTATTGAGAAAGGCTATAGGCTATAAAACATGGCGTCATGACCAATAGGAGCCGAGCAGAGTGGGTGAAACCGCGGCGATGTCGCTAATTATAACATATCTGAGGATTTTTTTTTAAACCGAACCTTGAAAGGATCTATATTTACCTACTTCCTTAATAAGACACAAGTGTGTTATGTTTTACGTTGTAAGATCTAGTTTCCTAGTAATCTAAGGGCAGTTATTATTACCTAAACATGATATTACAATAATTATTTACTAATAGGACATTATTATTTATAGCGAGACCTTTTTAGAGTTTATCGAAGTCTGAATGTCATAATTATCTATGACATTTGTGAAGGGAAGTGATATAGCCGTTATAGGTCGGAACTTATAGACTAGGACGTAGAATATATAGAAAGAAAAAAAGAAAGAAAAAAGGGTAGACAAAGCAGTTATTCCATAGAAGGCACGCACACAGATTCAAAAATAAAAAAATACGTATAAGATGTCTATTTAGTACTTTTGTTTCCTAGAAGAAGATTTTTGGCATAGGCCGGCAAATAAGCAGACGGATTACCTGATGGTAAGTAATTGACGCCGCCTGTAGATTTTTTTTTTAAGGGGGGAAAATCATCGAATTACTGCTCCCGCCTGGGTGAGGTGGGAGGGAGTGTCAAACTCTTACTGACTAAAAACCACCCCGTTCCTTCTCCTGCACGTCGAGCCGGAACCCCGGTTACCCGTTAGGTTCTCCGCGACCGCCGCCTGTAGATTGGTATCTAGGTATTGGTACAAAATAGGTGCGTTGACGGCCTTTTAAGTGATTTTGGCAATGGGAATTATGTTGCGAGTTCTATGAAATTGGGGGAAAGCTTATTGTCATACATCAGGCTTAGAAATTAGACATTATAGTCGGACGTTTTGCTTGGGACAATGTAAACCTACGGTTAAAGGTCAATGAATGGGTTGCAAAAGTATAGCTTGGTTAGTAGATTTTTTCTCAATTATCGCTCGTTGTCTTGTGTAGCCAAACAAACATATTTGGTTATTTTCACAAAACTTATAAATAATTCTTCAAATCATATACCTACTTATTATAAACTAGCGGCTCGTCCCGGCTTCGCACGGGGGGACTTAAGATTTTTTACATAGTTTTACGTTTTATTTATATTTATTCTCAGTTTTTTTTTATTTAGGAAGTATTTACCTTTTGAAAATATTTTTCCGGGCTTCATTTACTTATTTCATTTATTTTATTTCACTTCAGGCCGCGCGCCGCCCCGCGCCTTTTTAATGTATTTTTGAAATAGTAGGTAAGTACTTACCTAATAGGTATCTTTTGGATGAATTAATAGTCCGATTGAACAATTCAAAAGATATCTAGAGCAAACTTTTATAAGGATTGAACCATTTATTAAAACGATTGTTATGGGTAAACTATAAAAGGTAGACATATGCTCTCGCGGACCTTTTTAAAAATAATGTTAAGATGAACAATTCATCTATAGAGCATTTTTGTATAACTTTAACTATATGCTCAGCGCACGCCACGGAAGGCCTCAGAAACGATACTTCTACTTTTGAGTTTATTCATTACAAAAATACAAAAATACAAATCTTTCCTCTTTATAATATTAGTATAGATATGGATATAGACTAGCAGCCCGTCCCGGCTTCGCACGGGGTAGACAATTATTTATTATTGGAATTTGGATTGTTGTAGTGACATAACTACAATAGTTGGACATTTGCTACCGCGGAGTTTTTTGTAGACATTATGTTCTTCAATATTGTTGTACATTATTTTGTTCTATCGCTAATAGTTTCGGCAGCGCATTCGACGAAAGATATTTTAAGACTCCAAAGAGACTTAAAATTTTACCAAGGATCCCTAATTTGTTTCAAAATGAAATGTAGCCTATGTCAAATTGGAAGAATGTAGCGTTCTATTGATTAAAGAATTTTTTATCGGCCCATTACTTTTTGAGCCTATTCATTACAAACATACAAAAACAGGTACAAATATTTCCTCTTTATAATATTAATAATAATATATAAATATAGATATAATCGCGTGCACGTCTGCTTACTCATTCTAGAATAAACAAAGTGATTTTATGTTGGTTTTGTGTTAGTACGATTGTCATACAAATCTGAATAGTAAAAACAAAAATATTTATATAAAGTTTGTTTCTTTAAAAAGTCATTGCCTTCAAGATAACACTACGTTTCTTTAAAATGATGAGGGATTATCTTTTATGTTTTGTCCCTGCTTAAAACTATAAAAAATAACACAATTATTTACGTTGTTTTCCGAGCGAAATGAGATGACATACTATACATACCCTTACAAATGGAAAAAAACTAATTGGAACAGTGTAGCTTCTGTCAGTGGGCGAAACCCCTGACATAAGCTAGTGTCAGTACATGTATATGTCAAAGCTTTCGTATTTGTCTCATACTTAACTCAAAGGCTTTACACACAGAGCAACTCAAGTAGAGGCAATTATCAAATAACTATTGATTTAGTCTTTGGCATAAATCAATCGTTATTTTCGTACCTGCATAGCAAATAACGATGCAGACTGTACATCCGACCATATTCATCAAGGAAAAACTTCATTTTACCTCAACTATAACCACACACGCACACAAGCAAACATTGACGTTTCAAGATCAATCACGTGACCCACTCATGCGCAGTCTAGGAAGCATCTCATTAAATTGAACTTTAGATTGTTTTGAACGCGCACTTATCATTCATACAAAAATAATTCTATTGATAACTTAGCACGTGCCGTCAAAATGTGTGATAATGTATGATAGTGTATGACCCTTTCTTGAAGATAGGTTCAGCAAAAATTGGTCAAGACCAATGTTAATCTAACGTTTTGTATAATATGGTGATTATAGAAAAATGCATTTGCTGTTTTTGGCGGGGTAAACAAGTGAAGTGAAACAAGTGATTATTTCTGCAAATAGACTACAAGGCAGCACTTTTACACATCAATTTTATCAATCGAACGATGAGGCCGACATTTCCGAACAGACTACTCAAAGAAGAAATGTCGAAACAAACTCAGACGTCCGTCTCTTCTAAGTCTAGTCAAATATGTTTAAAAGATTAAGTGTGAGAACCGTGCAAGTTCATTCTGTAGTGGCTTTTTGAGGAAAGAACTACAACAGTTTGAGCGGACCCGTTCTGAAGGCAGTACGCATGTGT